CAAGTCATGGCAGCCTCAAGTGTGCAGAGATCTGCTCCGTAGGATTTTCAAGTCTGTGACCTTGTTGATGTAGATCAGGCATATCTCCCAAGGTGGCACTGGGCTGGTTAGAGTCTACAATCTCTTTTCCAGTAGTTGAGCACTTAACCTTTGCAACATCTAAGCTTACCTGGGTTAAAGAAAGAAACAAAAGAGCCCACTGCCATTGAGTTGATTCTGGCTCATGGTGACCCTCCATTGGATTTCCATTTTTTTCCAGCAGAGTAGCTGATGGATCCAAACCTCTGACCTTTCTGTTAGCAGCTCTACATGCAGTGCACTACACCACATGGAAAAGTCATGTTCTTTCCAGAACTTCAGATTGTGATATTATTTTGATAGAGTTATTGTGGGCATAATGCATTAAGGTAAAACTGGAGTAAGGTAGGGCTTTAATCTATTATGACTATGTGTATTATATGTTGTTGCATCAGAAGTGGCTCATACTGGCCTTCCTATGGGTTTTCAAAGAGTCTGTAAGTCACAGGGGAGGAGATTGCCCATATTTCTTCCTTGGAGCACCTGGTGGGTTAGAACTGTGAACCTTTGGGTTGTCAGTGCAATTCCTTACAAGTAAATGGTATTGAAGAAGAGTGCTAAAGATGCCATGGGCTGCCAGAAGAATAAAAAGATGTGTCTTGGAGAAAGTTGCAGCCAGCATGCTCCTTGGAGGCAAAAAGATGATGAGGCTTCATCTCATGTACTTTGAGCATGTTGCTAGGAGAAGTTATTCCTTGGAGAGGGACGTTCTGCTTTGGAAGGTTGGGGCAGGGTGGTGAAAGAGAAGAAGACTCTCAACCAGGTGGATTGACACAGTGACTGAAGCAATGGACTTGAGTGTATCAAAGGTTGTGAGAATGGCACAGGATAAAATGGCACAGTATTCAGATCAGTTGTTCATAGAGCTGTTCATAGAGTGATTGATTCAATGAACCTAACGATAAGACACCAAAGAAAATATACAGACAAGAACGCTATATAACTCCGAAGGCAAAGATTGGAGTGATGTATCAACAAGTCAAGAAACACCAAGGATTGCTCACACCAGAAGCCAAGAGAAAGGCCTAAAACGGATTCTACCCTAGAATCTTCAGAGAGAACTTGCAGAGACCTTGATCCATGAAGTCATCGTTAAACTAAATATACCCTTATAAAGAAGTATCTATATGAGCTCCTACTGACAACAGTTAATGAAAGCATAGATGGAAGCTTTAAGAGTCAGAGAGACAAAATTAATGCTAAGTGCTAAAAGAATGTGGTAACAATAGTGGGAGCAATGGCCTCAAGTATGTAACAAATGCCACTGAATTGGACTTGTAGAAACAGAATGGATGTAAGTTTGAGCATGTAAACATCTCCAAAAGGGGTAGTAGAAGGGTTCTTCTGCCTCTACTGGCAGAGCTGGCTTGCCAGTGGGCTGGTTTCCTGATCCTTCTCACTGGACCAGACATTCTGGAGGCAGAGATAGCTCATGAGGTGGAGAGCTGGAGACTGGGCAGAGAACTGGATGGAAGGGCTGGCCTAGGAGAGCCCGTGCTGACAACTCCACCATATCCCTGAAAATCAGACTCACTGGGACCCCACATTCATGGGAGCTGCTTGGCAACCCCCACTGCACACTTGGTGCCCAGCATCACCCTCAGTGTTCTCTGCCTGTGGACAAGGGGCCAGACTGGGACAGGCCCCACCATTTCCATCAGCCTACATCCTAGACAGGGCCCTGTGAGCAGGAAGAAGTAGTGAATGAGGAGATGGAATTTAAAGCTTAGAGCTGAGTTGACTGATTAGTACCATCCAATAGCAGGGAAGTCTAGGAATCATAGAGATGCTACTCCTCAAAAAAAATCCCATCCTCTCTCCCTGAGTACCTGCCTCCCAACACCATTTCAGGCCTTCTTGAGGTCTAGGAAGGCTTAACAGCTTTCCCTCCCTCTTCTTAGCCTTGAAGAAATGTGGGCTTTTAGAGTAGTTTTGGGAGTTTGTGCATTTCAAGGATTGAGACCATGCACTGAAAGGGGATTTTTACATACAAGCACCATGTTGGGCCCTTGAGTGCAGGGAAACAAAAATATAAACAGGTGGCCCTCCCCCAAGACAAACAGCCGCACACAGAGTTATAGTGACACTGCATAGTATAGGATATGAAGAAATGCTATAATGGCTTGACAAATGTGATGGGAAGAGGAGGAAGATGAGAAACCACCAAGACCTTGAGAAGAAAGCATTGTTGGAGCTGAACATGAGATCAGTGAGCAGGATGTTATGGGGTGTTGTTAGGGGGAGTGGTATAAGGGGCAAAATGGGAGAAGAACTGGAGCCTATGGGGCAAATATTTGTGGGGAAAAACCTGAGAACTTGTCACTGTCCACTCGCTGGCAATGAACCACAACACCCTGATGGGGGTAAGCATGTCAGAGGCACACCACTCCAGGAGCCAATCAGAGTCAATCCAGCTCAATTTTATTGGGGCTGCAGCGCACTTATATACAGTCAAGGAGACAGGAAGACCGGATAGGGTGAGTTTGCAGACGTGGGACATGTGGATTGGATAGAAGAACCTCAGGCCCATGTGGACCACTCTCAGCTCAACAGATGCAGCAGCCGTCTTCCCAGGTGGCAAAGTTTCTCAAGCTTATATGGCCAAACACAGGAGAGCTTTCTCTATCCCGTATTAAAGGCCATTGGGAAGCTTGCACTTATCCGGAGCTTAGGCAATCTGTCCTGGTCAGAGGCCCTCCCTTCCTCCCCAACATTCCCAAACAAGAACTAAGTGACTCTGAAGTCAATAAGCATGGACAATGAGCTCCTAAGTCCAAGGTGGACAGGATTCTTGATCAAGTGCTGCCTCTTATGCTACAGATGATCAAGGTAGAGTAAGTTCATCTCCATTCTGTTACACTTTGGATTTATATAATCTAAAAAACTTTCTGCAATAATGTTGTTCTTAGATGCTATTGAGTGTGCTGTGACTCATAGTGATTCTGTGTACAATGCAATGATCCTGCACCGCCCTCACAATTGCCCAGGGCTGCAATCACTGGGCCAGCCTGGTTCATTGAGGGTCTTTACCCCCCTGATAGATCCTCTACTTTACCAAGCGTGGTGTCTTTCTCCAGGACCAGTCTCTCCTGATAACATGCCCCAAGTATATGAGATGGAGTCCAGCCATCCTTGCTTCTAAAAAGCATTCTGACTTCTTAGAATTCTGGCTGCATTTCTTCCAACACAGATTTATTTGTTCTTCAGACAGACCATGGTATACTGCCAGCACCACAATTCAAAGGCATCAACTTTTTTGCAGTCTTCCTTATTCATTGTTCTATTTTCACATGGATCTGAGGCTACTGAAAATATCCCATCTAGGGCCAGGTGCACCATAGTCCTCAAAGTAACATCTTTAGTTTTTAGCATTTTAAAGAGGTCCTTTACAGCAGATTTGCTCAATGTAATAAGTCTGTAGTAATTGTTAGGTGCCATTGACTCAAATATGATTCATAGCAGTGCTATGTACAATAGATTGGAGTCTTGTCCTATCCTATGCCATCCTTATCATCCCCAACACACGTGAAACCTGAAGTCGCTGCATCAGTCTATCTCACTTTGTGTCTTCCTTTCCTTCGCTGATCCTTCACTTTTCTAAGCTTCATGCCTCTGCCCAAGGAATAACCTCTCCTAACAATATGCCGAAAGTATGTGAGATGAAGTGTCTCCATCCTTGTCTCCTAGGGGCACTCTGGTTCCACCGTCTCCAAGATATCTGTTTTTTGGCATTTCAGGGAGTGTTCAATCAGTACTCATCTCCAACATCACAGCTTAAGGTGTTGATTCTTGTCATCCTTATTCATTGTCCGGCTCTTAGATGCATAACAGGTGATGGGGGTTGGGGGGGGTAGAATTTGCAGGTGATTGGATTATCTGCAATAATAGGCTTGGTTTACTAGACGTATCTATGCAATAGAGTAGCCACAAACCAAGTGTGACAACCACTGAGGACTTGAAAGAAAGATAATCTGTCTTGGGAAGTAAATGTTCAGCTTAATTTTAACTTATTTCAATTTTAATAGTTAAATATGGCTAGTTGCTACCATATGTGATACCATCATCTTGGAGGTTAGCTACCAATGATCTTCCCCTTGGCATCTTGCCATGCAATGATGACAAAATGCAGTACTATGACTCGATGTCAGAGAGAGGAATTACAAAGCACATTGAATAATGTACTTCATTAACAACAAAGATCCAGTCCTGCGCTCAACAGTTACAAGTGTTGGTTGCCAATTCCTATTCGAGTTTATTTTTTTTTTATTTTAGCAGAATTAAAAAAATTAAAGTCTGACAGAACACACAAGCACACATTTCTTTTTGGGAAGGAAAAAAACATGATCCAAAAGGACTCCTTCCTCTCTAAAGACCCTTTAGCCAAAAGGATGAGAGGAGAAAGTGGAGCAGTGGGCAGAATGTTACTGTTTTAATGCTATTGTCATTGAGTCTGAAAACTTAGTTTTTGGACCCTAGAAGACAATAGTGTTTGTGGGGGATATTGTTTGTTTTTAATTACGTGCACTGAAAAGCAGAGGCAGACAGCAGCTGGAGGGAGGCACGTAAGCTTTAGCTTCACCAATACCACCACATTCCAGGAACACCTCTGCAGCATGCACCTTTAGAGACCCTCTCCCAGACGCTCACAATAACCCCCTTGATCAGTGCCAGCAGCACCTCCGCGCGGGCCTGAGGAGCGCGCTGCCAATGAGCTCGCGCCTGTGCCCAGCCTTGCTCTCTGATTGGCTGCTCTCCGCCGATTCTGCACCACAGGTTCCCAGGCCGGGTTTAAAGGGGTCGGGTGCACTGTTGCCCAGCCACCCGCTTTCCACACGAAGGTCCACGGGGAGGGGCGGCTTGTCAACAGACCCACCCCGGGGCGTTCCCACAGGGCGCTCTCGAACGCCCCCTTCGTCCCCCAGATGTACTATGTGGTCTCCCAGGCGCGCGTGAACGTGGCCCCCGCGACCATGCTGCGGCCACAGCGGCCTGGAGATGTACAGCTCGGGGCCTCCCTGTACGAACTGGTGGGCTACCGGCAGTCGCCCTCCTCTTCCTCCACTTCCTCCTCCACGCCGACACCCCTTCTCCCCAAAGCGGCGCGCGACAAGTCGGAGGCGCCGGCCGAATCGCGAGGCTCCGGGACGGGGCTGGGCGCACACGCAGGCGGCCGGGCGGACGCCAAGGAGGAGCAGCAGCAGCAGCTGCGGCGCAAGATCAATAGCCGCGAGCGGAAGCGCATGCAGGACCTGAACCTGGCCATGGACGCGCTGCGCGAGGTCATCCTGCCCTACTCCGCGGCGCACTGCCAGGGAGCGCCCGGTCGCAAGCTCTCCAAGATTGCCACGCTGCTGCTCGCCCGCAACTACATCCTGCTGCTGGGCAGTTCGCTACAGGAGTTGCGCCGTGCGCTCGGGGAGGGCGCTGGGCCGGCCGCGCCGCGCCTGCTGCTGGCT